CTCTCTCTCTCTCTCTCTCTCTCTCTGTGTGTGTGTGTGTGTGTGTGCGTGCGTGCGTGTGTGTGTGTGTGTGTGTGTGCTAGTGTTTGTCTTTCAGTTTTGAGATTTGAACCGCTTGGCTTTTACAAGAGTATATGTTACTCTCATAGCATCTCCGTGAGTCTCATTCTTTCTCAGAACCCCTACATCTGTTGGTAATGGGCACATCTAATGGGGCATTTAGATATCGTCCAATTAGTTATTTCTTGTCCACTCTGCATCCATTTGCATTTTCACATCAGGGAAGACCATCAGTAAGGAGTGGCTGATCTAGGTGTCAGTGCTGAGGACAGGCCTTGAGAACAGGAACAAGCCCATGACTGTCCTGCTTGTCCTTGGTTAGGAGGTAGGAATATGGTAGAGGATAAGTGAGGGACCAGGAAGGATGGTCACAGATCTAAGACGTTTAGACATTAACCATAACCTTTAGCTACTAAGGCAGAGCCCATGAGAGTAGAGTGGGATTATCTCTAGAGAAGATGGTTTAGATGAGGAAACTATGAGAGGAAGGAGAAAACGTATTAAAAGGATGAGAAGGTGAGGGGGAATCTTGTCTGATTCTGAAATGATGACCAGCAATGTCTGTCAGTACATGGGAGTTCCTGTAGCTGTTTCCACCAGAGGCCAAGGATCAGTCTGTTTGGTATCATGAGGGTGACCATCTAAAGTTGTTATGGCATTGAGCAGCACAGCACAGAGGGATCGTGCCTTGTTCTTTTACAGGTAATTTCTGTCCAGTCTCAATGTCTGAGAACAATAAGAAAGGGAACATGCCTGCCTGACATATTGTTCCATTTGGAGTCATTTGTTTATTTCCCAGATATTCTGAACCTGCCCACAACAGCAAGATATTTCTCTTTGTCAATTTCTGGTTGAAATTACTTAAGCACCTTCCCAACTTCCTCACCACCTCCTCTGACTTGTGTAATGGAATTAAATGCGCTTTCCAAAGGAATTGGCCTAAGGCTACCCCAAGCTTCCTGTGTTGTTATTTCTGTTTTCTCTGGGTGCAAGCAGTGTCACGGCTTCCAGATGTAACAGAACAGTGAAGACTGTGGGTACTGGAGCTAGCTTTGGGATTCAGAACTTTGACATTTTCAAAATGAGAAGGTCATTACTTTCTAAGGTTTTGTTTTTCTTAAATTGTGGATTTTTTTTCTTTTAGGAACTTTTGAAACCAAAGCAGAACAGACTGTCAACATAGCCTAGGTTTTGCCTGTGCAAATTAGAAACCAGTGAAGGCCTGATGGCAAATTATTTTCAGGACCTTGTATACCTAACTTCTACTTCAAACGGCGGGTGACAAAGGGTGGCCCTAGAACCAACAGTAGCAGAAACACCTAGAAAGTTTAAAAAAATTCAAGTTGAGGGGCTGGAGAGATGCTCATGGTTAAGAGTGCTCTCTGCTCTTTCAGAGGACTGGAGTTCAGTTCCCAATCGCCTGCAACTCCAGCTCCAGAGGATCCCCCACTGACTTCCTACTGCACACACATGCATGTACATACAGACACAGACAGACAGACGGCAGACAGATACACTCATACACACGCTCACAGAGAAAGGAAAACTGACAGCTCTTATCCGTGGGCCACAGTCATACATTCTGGGAAATGTTGAGTAGTTCTGCTGCTGTGGGAGTGTGGCCACGTAAACCTGGGGCGTGGAAGTGAGTCACTTCAGGAGGCCTAGTGCTACATGGTAAACCAAAGATAAGAGGCTGATCCAGGGCAACAAGACATAATTTTTTACAGTAAACCTTAAAAAAAATCAGTAACTAGAAGGAGTACACTAAAATAATGACTGAAACAGAGTACACAATCAGCAACATAGCTATTATCAAGTACAATATACTGTATACAACTGTGTTATACTTCGGCAGCAGCAGGTTCCTTTATATGCTTATATATTACATGATAGATATGATGTCACTAAGTGATAAGAAAATTCAACTCCATTATAATCATATGAATCCACTGTCATATATACAAAATGTTATCTGTCCTATAAGGATTAAGAAAATCTGAGGGGATGGGAAAGAATAGAGAGACCAGACATGACACACACACAGAGAGAGAGAGAGAGAGAGAGAGAGAGAGAGAGACAGACAGACAGACAGACAGACAGACAGACCTTGGGACACTTGCCCTAAATCGGAACATTCAACCATCAGATCCCTTCCCCCCAGCATTTATGGGACCCTGAAGAAGAGGAGACAGAAAGAGTAGAAGAACCAGAGGGGATGGAGGACACCAAAGAAACAAGGCCCTCTAAGTACGAGCAAAGCTCACATGAACTCAGAGACTGAGGCAGCAGGCACAGGGTATGCAGGGGTCTGCACCAGGTCCTCTGCTTATATATGATTGCTTCCAGGTCGGTTGTATCAATGGGATTCCTGAGGGTGTGGAGGACTGGGTCTCTGGTTCTTGTGTCTTCTCGTGGGCTCTTTTCCTTCTGTTGGTTTGTCTTGTCCAACTGTGATGTGATAGTTTTTGTTTTACTTTATATTTTATTTTGCTGTATTTTATCATTATCGCTTAGAAACCTGTTCTCTTCTAAAGACAGAAAAAGAGTGAATCTGTGTGGGAGAGGAGGTGGGGAGGGACTGGGAGGAGTGGGGGAGGGGAAGCTGTAATCAGGATATATTATATGAGAAAATAATCTATTTTCAAAAAAGGAAAAAAAAATGAGGGTGGAGCCCAGCAATCTGTTTTAACGTGCTGTGATTCTGCTGAACACTTGCTTGAGAATAATGAACTTAAGAATACTTACTAGCCATTGCTGGTATGTATGTGTTTTTCTGACATAGAAGTTTAGCATTAGTTCAGTTACTATACTGTAGATGTTCACTGGTGAACAGGTTCAAAACCAGATACTCATTTAGACAAAAAAAAAATCTCTTTAAAAATTTCTTTTAAAAAATTAAATTTGTGTGTGTGTGTGTGTGTGTGTGTATGCGTGCATGCATGTGTATGTGAGGTTGGTGGGAGTTGGGTCTCTCCTTCCATTAGGTGGACCCTGAGGATTGAACTCAGGGTTTGGTGGCAAGTGCCTTTACTCATGGAGTCACCTTGCCAGCCCTGAAAATGGGCTTTTGACTCATTTCGACCTTGGAATTCTTGAGTTTCTTTATGGTCACAAGTTTCTTAAAAACAAACAAACAACAAAAGCTAGAAGAAGCAATAGATCTGGGTCCTGGAAAACAAGCATACAGATACTTGACTATAATAATCTTCTCCTTTGCCTCATAAATTCCTTACATGACGGACATTTGGAGAGCACTGGAGAAATGGCTCAGTGGTTAGGAAGGCAAAAGGCACAGATTCAGTCCCAGCACCCACATAAGGCCACTCACAACTGCCCGCAACTCAGACCTCTAAGGGTCTGGTGCCCTCTGCTGGACTCTGTGAGCACCTGCACTCAAGAGCACATACCCTACTCCCTGTCCATTAAAAAGTCTGTGAGGGCATGGTAAAAAGGCCTTCAATCCCAGCACTTGGGGGACAAAAGCAGACAGATTTCTGTAAGCTCCAGGCCAGCAGGAGTTCACAGTGAGACACTGTCTCCCCTAAAAAATCTTTAAAAATAAACATATGGGGATGGAGAGATGGCTCAATGGTTAAGGGCACGCACTGCTCTTCCAGAAGACTAAGGTTCAATTCTCAGCGCTGACATGGTGACTCACAACTGTTTATAACTCCGGTCCCAAAGGATTTGATGTCCTTTTTTGGCCTCCTCAAGCACCAGGCATAAATATTCAGTACAGACATACATGCAGACAAAACTCCCATACACATAAATTTAAAAACATTTATTTTTTGGTAACACAATATACAACATCATAAAAAGACTTGAGTGCACATGGACAATCATTTCCTGCTGAAGCCTGTGGGATTTGTCACAGCTGTATCACCCTACATGTGTCCAGTCTTGTGAGTCTCAGCGTCTTATTTACAATTAGACGTTTGGTGACTAAATGTCTGGGGATGGGATTTTTGTGTCATTGTTTCTCTGACAAATGTTTGAGAAGAATACAAGGGGAAGAGTTATTTTAGTTTTGAGTTATTTTAGTTTTGAGTTCTTTTAGTTTTGAGGTTCCAACCCAAGGCTGGATGGATTTGTTGCCTTTCGGCAAGACAGAAACTCTGGTGGAAGGGCATGGCGGATACTGTTTTTCACGGTGGACAGAGGACGACAAAGGGCTGGGGCTGAGATGGACGTTCAGAGGCACACACCTCCAGTGGCCTGCTTCCTCCAGCCAGGCCCTCCCTCCGAGTTTTCACCACTTCAATGCCATCAAATTGTGAATCTATCATAATCTGATATAAACATAACATGAATCTGTTGATTAGATCCAGAGTCTTTACTATCCTAGCACCTCCCTAAAACCCCTCTGATTGCTGCAATGGAGAGGAGCCTGGGGCAAATAAGGTGTGTGAGGTGGGTTGGGGGGAGCTACTTTGTATCTAAATCCTAATATTCTGCCCTCAGAAGCTTATA